ATCCAGCAGGAGGATTTCCTACAGATTCTCTATTACCATCTTTCAAGTTTATGAGACAGTGCTATGTACAAAATTTCTACCAGTGGGAAGAGCCACCCATATTAATGAGAATTTTTGAGTATAATTTCTGCCTGTTATATTAACCCTTTAGAGTCTTTTTTATAGACAAGGGCAGTTTTTGCTAAATATTTATTTTTAATAGATACATAAAATATTCCACTTAAGCAAATCTTAAACATGCAAAAATCCTAAAGCAAGTGGACATTTTACTTAATGTAATTGTTAATCTATAGAAGGAAGAATTAAATATCAGAAATAGTCACCAAAAAATATTTATCAGAAATTTAATGTTAGCATTTTGCTAACATCATCTCTGAGGTTTTTGTTATTTACAATTCAAGGAAGGTAAAGAGGAAAGAGTTCTCTTATTCTCACCAGGAAACCTGGGGAAATTTGTTTTTCCCTCCTGTAAAGATCATACTGTACTTATCTAGTTTTATAAATATGTGTGTTTTCTATATTATTTATTTCCCATCCCTGGCTGACCTTGTGCTTTTTCACAGGATGTGAGGAAATACCTCAAAGGACATTCATAACTAGCTCTGGCAATGGAAGGAAGGTGCACTAAGAAGCGCAGAGGTGCTAAAAAGTGCAAAATCCGAAGAGCAGTAAGAATGGATACTAATTGTCAGGTATTGATTACTATTTATTACATATGGATTGTCTTGTAGGCTTATAAAATGCTAAGAAAGCAGTTGATGAGCTCTACTTTGTAAAATAAAAATAAAAGAGCAGAAGTCCCAAGTGAATTGTAGTGAGCAGTCTAATAAGGAAGCTGAGTATTCTTAAGGTTTCAAAATCCGTATAATGTCCTCTGTATCTGATATTTAGGTATTTCCTGTAGGAATTAGGAGCAAAATAAAAATAAAAAGGAAAAAAATGCTTACTTTATGTAAAGATACATAAAAAAGAAACTACAAAAACAAGCAGTGAACATCTATACCTACTAACATGTGCAAGGTGTTAGGTCAAATGCTTAATTTTTATACCCAATAAGCTGAGTTAGAAAAATTAAATAGACAGCTAGTTTTGGACACCAAAACCTGTGAATTCTCGTTGTACAAGATCTGTGTGAATATGTAACATCAGTATGACTGAAAGATGAATGACTCTCTTACATTGAGATATTAGTAAATGCATGCCAATTCTCCTTCACAGAATATCCTTTTGGAAAGATGTTTAAGGGTACATCCCATATCCACTTCATTTTGTATTAAAAACTCATTTCAGCAGTAAATGTGCATTTTAATCATTTTAGAAGGATTTCTAACTTGGTATCATCTGAGAAATGGTAATAGGAGGAAACAAGGAAAGGGGACCTCAGAAATCAATAACTCTATATGGAAATATAAACAAGAAAATCTCCTTTCAATATTAACCATTTGAAAGCTACTATGTTACTATATCAGACAAGCTTGCCATTAGTCACTGTCATTTGTAATCATCTTCTGGTTAATGCAGTACTATAAAATTCCCCAGTTTATGGTTAAGGAGAGTAGACAGAAGTGTTGCTTTATAAAACCATTTTGGTTAGTTCCTTTGGTACACCATTCTAAGGCATGAGTCAAAACAATCATATACTAAAATAACATGAAAAGGAATTTTATCGGAGGAAATAAAAGATGAGCCAAGGCAGGGCAATAAAGCCAAACCTTAATTAAATTCCTCTAGTAACACTGTGATTATATGTTTTTTGTTGGCTATTCCAGACTTTTGTCAGAAAATGTTGCAACTTGAAATGGAGTCTATAAAAAATTTTTTTGTTTAAATTTTAAGACAGGGGCTGGGGATTTAGCTCAGTGGTTTCACCGCCTGCTGCGCAAGCGCAAGGACCCGAGTTCGATCCCCGGTACCAAAAAAAAAAATTTTTTTTAAGACAGTACATGAAAATCTTGGTCAGGTGTGGTGGTACATTCCTATAATCCAAGGCCAGCCTGGGCTACATATTAATTTCAAGGCCAGCCTGAACTACAGTGAGACACTGAATTTAAAAAAACAAACAAAAAAAACACCGAAAAAACAAAACACACATACAAAAAAAACCCCCAAACCTTGAGCACAAAATATGAGTTACATTTTATCATAGTAGATACTTTAAAAGTCTTATGACTTTCCTAAATATATCTTGCCTAAATTTAGATCAAATTTTAGTGATTAAAATTTGTAATTCAAATTATAAAATTATGGAGCAGTACTGTCCTGTCTCTACAATGGAGCTCATCGTATTACTACCTTATCTGAAAACATTCCATAGTTCTCTATCTACTACTATGATAAAGCTCCCTACACAAAATCTGGTTGCAACCCACATCTGTGGTACTGTTCAGCTTCTCTTCCATCATCTGAAGACTACTTGCCATCTCAGGAACAGGTTATGTACTTTCAAACTTTTCTAGCTTCAATACTTAATAGTTGAGTGACCTTGAACAAATCTCAACTATAAAATGGGTATTAAAAGTGGTACCTACAATCTAGGATTATCATGAGGATTAAATGAGTTAATACAGCACTGTAATTAGAAAAAAATACAGCATAAAATAAATGTACAGTGAGTATCACCTATTACTTTTATTATTTTCAATTGTTGCTTTCACTTCCTGGCATACTGTTTCTCAATCTCTGCACAGTAAACTTCAATTCATCTTCAAAATGTAACTCATAACAAGACAATAGCAACCCAATAAAAAATGGATGAAATAGTTGAAGACATTTTACCAAAGTAGATATGCCTAATAAGCTCATGAAAAGACTCAACAGTATTAGATATTAGGTAAATAAAAATCAAAACCACCATGAAATATGTCACAACCACCAGAACAGCTATAATGAAAGAGTAAAGGCTGTGGATATAACTTAGAGGTAGAGCACTTTGCTTACTAGCATGTACAAGGTCCTGGGTTTGATTTCCAGCACTCAGAAAAAAAAATTGGGAATTCATTTTTTGTGGGCAAAGAATATTTAATTTACAACAACAACAAAAACTATATACAAAATACTTTATAATGTTTTCAAAATTATTATAATTATTATCCTAAAGATTCTTTCAGTGGTTGATAATCTTGAATATTTTTATAAAGGCATAGTTGTTTATCATTTTTCATTATGAAAAAAATTAATTGCTCTTCAAGTGTTGAATATTTCTCCTCAGAAAACAGAATAGCATAGTAGAAAGAACATTAATATTGCAATCACAAAAGCTGTATGTGTCATTCATTCATAAAATTATTCTGGCCAAATTTCTTTTTTTCGTTAGGCTACTGCTTTCTGTTTAATAAAGGCAAGATGAACTCTACAGTTTCTCCTAGCACCCCTGTTGAGGAAAACTAAGGTGATTCAGACACAATGAAAAAGAAGAAGCTCGCATCTTTTCCCTGTACACAGTAAAGGAAATTCCTAAGTTATACGGGAAAAACAGAAGGAAATGGCTGATGCAATCAGTGGCCCTGTATACATATATACAAGTTGCATCCCAACATCAGGTCCCACCCTTCATTAACATGCAGACCCACACATCCCATCCCTCCAACCCCTGACCCTTGGCCCCATATACCTCAGCTATGGTCATTCTCAGAGCACTGACAGGGGAGAGCTCAATATCCACCAGTTGGGCAGCTTTTAAATTCTGCCCAGTAAAGATTGCACAAGGACAGAAAACAGCATAGAGTTAGAATTTTAAGGCAAAATTTAGGGACACAACAACTAAGAACACTGAGCAGTTTTAGGAAACAAAGAAGGACTTATGGCTTAGCATGGTTGGGCTTTGGAAAAGAGAGATGAGAGCTGCTGTTACTCTGATTTTTCTTAGGCAAATGGGCAAAGATAAAATAATCTCAAATTAGTCACAATTTTAAATTAACCTTATTTCATCTCAGGCTTTACAGAAGTCAAATTATAGGACAACGTGATTGAGTCATTAAGTAAAAGCTGATTGATAAAAACTATCACTAATGTAAAGGGCAAAGATTATTATCTAGAGGGAAATACTGATTTCCTACATTTCTTTATATAACCACTAATAAGGCTACTTAAAATGTAAGAAAAGTAATGATATATCTCTAGCAAATGTATTTCTACTAAATGATGCTATTGAACCCTGGGACTATGTAATAAACCCCCCTGATTCTACCTAAATGTACCAAAAAACCTTATAAATATAACTTGATTTCCCTTTTCGCTTGTCGATATTGAGAGAACATGTAGTGATGTCAATATGTGCTTTCTCATTTTGAAGACATTAAATTTCACTTTTTATGTTATTAAATTAATAATTTGGCTTTTAAGAAAAACTCAATGACAAACATTTCTCATAAACTCAAAAAAAAGTATGATTAATTGTCTGCTCTTTCAAAATTGATACTTTTGGGTTTATATTAATACTTTAACATTCTAAAAGCTAAATTATCAAAGGTTTATAATTTTTATAAAGCCAACCAAAACATCTCCATGCTTATATTTATTATTCCATTTATTAATTCTGTTCTGGTTAAAATTTAACCATTGGTTTCTTTGGAAGGGTATTACGTTAAGAATTTCATAGACAAAAGGCGTGCTTTATACTTGAATATGTTTGTTGGATTTTCTTTTTTTTTTTGGTACCAGGGATCGAACTCGGGACCTTGCACTTGCAAGGCAGGCGGCAGAACCACTGAGCTAAATCCCCGGCCCCTGTTGAATATTTTTTCCTTCTTCTCTCAATTGTCTTCAGACTTTTGGTAATTTGTCTTATAATTTAACCTCACTCAGTACAAAATGGTTAGCATAATGATACTGAGTGTGCAGCTATATTTTAGAAAAATGTCATGTTTTTTGTGCATCTTCACAGTTTGCCATAAAATGCAAGAGACATACTAAGCTTTTCCTGTCTGTTTCAAGGATGATAAGTTATTTGAGCACAAACACAAGTCAACAATAAAGGAGATGAGAATATGGAATTCCCTTACAGTGTCACTGTCACAGGGCTGGAACTGGAAGGGCTGAGGTTTGTGAAACACGGTATTCTCTTGTAAAAACAGCTGAAGATTATAGTCCCGTACCACCTAAAGAGAAAAAGATGTCTTTAAGTCTTTAATAAGGTTAAAAAGTCCAGTAATTACATTCTAACGTTTAAGATTTATTCAGTTATTTTCTGTACAAATGAGAGACCATCCAACACTGTGGTAAAAACAAAATGATAATGTTACATTTTTTCATTTTTAGATAAGATTTGTTAGTTATATGTCCTATTTTCTCAAAAATCTAAATTTAGAAAGTACTAGTTTATTTATTTATTTGTACCAGGGATCGAACTTGGGACCTCGCACTTGCGAGGCAGGGGGCGGAACCACTGAGCTAAATCCTCGGCCAAGGAAGTACTAGTTTAGAAACAAGTCCAGATTTGGAGACCAGACAATATACAATATTTTAAGATAGCATGAAGATATGAAAAGCTATTTTTTGGAAGGACCTATATGTATGTGAATAAGAAGCATGTTACTCTTTGGTTTCTCCTAGCTCTAAGGTTTTATGAGCCTCTTAAAAGTTTCATGGAGGTTGCTATCCAGTAAGAAACTATTGAGTAATCCTATCCCTAGCATAAAATTATATTTTTAGAGTATTTCTTGGCATCTTTTCAAGGCAGTTGTATTCTAATTACTATTTTAAAGGATAACAAGAAGACAGACTAGAAAGGAACCTATATAGAATTCTGATACACAAAGAGGAGCAAAATAAATAGCACAGAAAGACAATCATTTGAACAGAATACACTATATTATATAGTCTAGAAGAGTGAAAATCAGCAACATATGATGTGCAGAAATCCATGTTCTATTGTGCTGCCTTGCTTGCTCTTTAGCCATCTTTCACTTGCAGTAAATTATAGCTCAGCCAGAAAATGGCAGAAGAAAAAAGTTCAAAGCAGCTCTGTAGCTTTATCTTGGTAATCCTGGGAAAAGATGGATTGTTTGAGGAACGAATCAAGTAGGAGGTGTATTTTGCATTTTATTTACCAGTGCAGTCCTAGTTCTCTACTGCTTTCCTCCCTTTCACTCAACCAACCATTTATTGAGAGAGCTTCCTAGGTCCCATGTAAAGTGCAGGGGTGAGGAAGAATGTATAGATGAATGTATAGATGAATAAAATGAACAAATAAGGTTAGTATTTTCAAGCAATTTTATAATGTGGAAACTGGGAGAAGTAAATAGGTTACACAATTAAAAATACACTATGGAAGAATGTAGAGGGCACAGGGAGAGCACAAAAGGGTGATATCTAATTCAGACTGAAGGGTGGGATGGGGTGAAGAGTGGTTTGAGAGAATTTGGTTAGGAAGGCACACTGAATAGACATATTCTTAATGGAAAGGTGTTTTTGCACTTTTTTTAGACTCTAGTTTTTTGGTGTTTTTTGGTACCAGGGACAGAACTCAGGTCCTTGCACTTGCGAGGCAGGTGTGGTGCCACTGAGCTAAATCCCCGGTCCCTAGACTCTAGTTTTAAGCTAGAAAAACTAAAAAGCTCATGGTCCAGCCATCAGAGCCCCACTAATCACCACGGAGAAAAGGTATGTGGGTCATTCTTCTGGTTGTCAAACTTATCCTTAGGCATTACAAACCAATTTGGGACCAGGTTTGGTGGTGCACTCTTGTAATCCCAGCACTTGGGGGACTGGAGGATCACTGCGAGTTTGAGGCCAGCCTGGGCTACACAGTGAGTAAAAGGCAAGCCTGAATTAAACTGCACAAACAAAACAAAACACAACATCACACCATTTGGAGGGGGGGACAACCTTTAAAAATTTAAAACTTTTTCTTAGGGAAAATTTCAAACACATATGAAAGTAGAAGAGACAATATAATGTATCCCCATGTACTCATCACCTAATTTCCACCTATTCGCTTCATAAACCTATCTACTTCTTCCACCCCAACTGTATTAAAGTTAAATTCCAGATGTACCATTTCATCCATAAATATTTCAGTAAGATATCTCATAGAACAAAGATTTACAAGAAAACATATCAATATTAAAATTTACATACTTACAAAACAACCAATTAACATTCAAATTTCCCTGTTCCTTCTTTTAAGGAAATCATTTTTCAAATCAGGATCCAAATAAAGTCCTAGAATGCAACCATATGTGGCTTAGGTTTCTTTTTCATATACCGTAAGTTTCTTCTTCTTTCTTTTTCCCCTCTTGTAATTTAACTGTTGAAGAAACTAGGTATTTGTTCTCCAGTGTCTCAGTCTTAATTCTGTTGACTTTATCCTTGTTGTATATTATTCCATATAGTTCCTTAAACTGAAGTTTTAATCTTTAGGCTTACTTGGATTAAGATTGTTTTGGTCAGGCTTGGTTTTTGTTTGTTTGTTTGTTTTCATGAGGAGGCTCACCTCTTTTTATGACATTAACAGCTATAGAACTGGATGGTAACCCCTCAAAGGATACACTCATGTTTTCATCCCTGAAGCCTATTCATGTTACCTCATTTGGAAAAAGTTTCTTCGAAGATGTGATTAAGTTAAAGATTCTGAGATACAATCATTCTAGATTACCCAGGTGGACCCTAAATCCAATGTATATAAGTGTCTTTATAACAGGGTCAGAAGAGAACACAGACAAAAAGAGAGGACAATATGACCACTGAGGCAGTGTTTTGAGTGATGAAGTCACCTGGCCAAGGACTACAGGGAACTCAGAAGCTGGAAGAGGCAAGGAACTGATTTTCCCCTAGAACCCATGGAGGGAGTACAGCTTGCTGACACTTAGATTTGACTTTCAGACAAGGAAATGGAAAAAAAAATTGCAAAGAGGTCCTGTTCACCTCCTAATGTCAACATCTTGGATAACTATAGTACAATGACAAACAAGAAATCAACATAGTACAAACCATAAAGTTTATTTAGATTACCAACTATATATGCATCATTTAGGTACTGTGAGTACAGAAATACTTTTATCTTATTTTAGCTTCATATAACCATGACCACAAGATACTTAACTGAACCATCACAATACTCCCTTGTGTTCAAATGTTTTTAGATTGGATGTACCAATTTGTATCCCATAGAGTAGTGTAAAAGTTTCCATTAATCCATATTCTTATGAACATTTATTCTTCTCTGTTCTGTCTTGTCTGCCCATCCATTCATCCATCCATCCATTCATCTGCCCAACCATCTACCCACCTATTTCATGGGGACTGAACTCAGGGAGCACTGAGCTACATCTCTAGTCCTCTTTAATTTTTTTGTTTTGTTGTGTTTTTAATTTGAGACAGGGTCTGGCTAAGTTGCCCAGGTTGGCCTAAAACTTCCATTCCTCCCTTTTACTCCTCCTATCTCACCCTCCTGAGTAGTTGGGATTATAAGCATGGGCTACCACATCTGGCTCTGTATTTATTTATTTATTTGGTACCGGGGATCGAACTCAGGACCTTGCACTTAACAAGGCAGCCACGACACCACTGAGCTAAGTCCTGGCCCTCTGTCTTTATTTTTGATATATAAAATGGAATCTCCTGGTGGTGTTGATTTCCATTTCCAGATTATTAATGAGGAAAAGCATCTATATTAGGTAGTTAGAACTGCCACAACAAAGTACCACAGACTGGGTTCCTAAACATCAGAAACTTATTTCTTCAAAGCCTGGAGGACAGAATTCCAAGATCAAGGTGATGGCAGAGTTGGCTTCTTCTGAGGGCCATTCTTTGTGGCTGGCCGTTGGCCATCTTTTTCTAGTACCTTCACATGGTCTTCTCTGTGCGCTTGTTTCTGTCTTACTTTCCAGTTCTTGTAAGGACATCAGTCACACTGAATTAGGACCCATCCCAATGACTTTATTTTAGCATAATTACCTCTTAAAAGGGTCTATCTCCAAATATAGTAAATTGTGCGGTATTAAGGGTTAGGACTTAAACATATCAATTTTTAGGGGGATGCAATTCAGCCAATAAGAACTTCTTATATGTTAATGGTTACTTATATTTTTAAATTTTGTGCAATGTATGTGATATGATATATCAGCAGTTCCTTTCCTTTTTGTAAGAGTAATATTCTATTGTGTCATAGTTTGGATTGAGAACATCCCTCAAAGGCCTCATGTGCTCACAGGCAGGGCTTCTGGAAGGTGATTCAATCATGGGGCAGGTGTGTGTGTGTTACAGCTGACTTGTTATTATGAGGTGGGGTCTGGTTGGAAGAAGTAGGTTACTGGGGGACGAGACCTGGTAGGGTCTATCTTCCTTCCTGGCTCCTCGCTTCCCTCTCTTCCTCACTTCTTCTGGCTCTTTTTTTTTTTCTTTTGGTACCAGGGATTGAACTCAGGACCTTGTGCTTGCAAGGCAGGGGCAGTGCCACTGAGCCAAATCCCTGGCTTCTGGCTCTTCTTGCTGCCATGATGAGAGCAGCTTTCTTCCACCCAGGCCTGTCCACCATGCTGTTCCTGTGTTTAAGCCTGCCAAACATGAACTAAAACTTCTGAACTGTGAGCCAAAATAAACCTCTCCCCTTTTAAGTTGAGAGTGTTGGTTATTGTGTTTCAATGAAAGAAAAGAGATTAAGACAGATTTTGGTACCAGGAATTAGGTCACTGCTGTGAATATACTTGACCTTGTGGTTCAGAAGCCTCTGTAGTTCACAGGAGGATTTTTTTTGTATTAAATTCTTTTATTGGTACATTGTAGGTATACAACACAATTACATTTCTCATTGGGAATTGTACCCTTAAATAATGCATCTTGGTTCTTATTTTTTCCCCATTCCTAGCCCTCCCTTCACGCCCTCCACCCTTCCCTATTCACAAAAACTTTATTTCCATTTTTTCCATTTCTCATCATTTTTTCCTTTCCCTTCTTTCCTTTCC